CTCTCCCATCCTTTATCCATATTGTCTACTGAGATTGGAAACTAATTCTATTTCACTTTCCATAACCACTCCAAACCTACTGTTTCCCCATCCCTGCCAGTAAACCTGTTCCCTAGAATATTCTTGAGGGGAAAAACACAAAAAGGCATGTTCTGAATTGATGACATGACTGCTGTCGTGCTTAAAGTTACACACATTCTTAGGTACCTTTCTGAAAGGGGACATTGATTAGGACCAGTCATAAATTCCTAAGTTAGAAAGTCTCCCTTATACAAGAAACATCTCAGAACGTATATACAGCTCAGAATATTACTTATCTTTTCCTGTAGGTGTGATCTGGTGTCCATCTGATTACACACTGTCAGCCCAAATCTTGCCTGTGTCATTGCTTTCTGAACCTCATTCTTTCAATTTCTGCTTGTGCTTGACAGTATTTTCCCCAAGCATATTATTTTCCATTTATCTAAATGAGTTTAAATGAATAGATGTAGCTAAAGTGCTATTGCCATACATGGCCTGACTGATTTCAGTATGTATATATTGAAAGATGATTGTTTTTTCTCTTTAGTGAGCCCTGAGTACTTGGAAATGTCTAGGGGTTATTGAATGACTCAGCTGTTTTTATTTCATCTTCTTAATGCCAATTTGTAATTGAATTTAATTGAACTTAGTCTTTCTACAAAATGTTTGGAACCCCAGCACCATTTTTACACTTCATTTGATTATTTCACTAATATTTTAGCTATTGGTACAATATAATATAATAGTAAATTGCCTATAAACTTACCAAAGAACAACACAGCTGATTTCCCCCATTATATTTTCTCATGTATTCTCTGTCTGTCTCTTTTTTATTCTCAGATGACATTATTTATGTCTCTGTTCATACCCACTGGTAAAAGTCAGTGGCAAAGGGTCAGAATTAATGCCAGTGTTTAAAGGAGGTTAACAAAGACTCAGATGTGCACAACTGTAAGTGGTTTAAGTGTCCAGAAGGGAAGAGGAGGAAAACTTATTAGTTATTTTAAAATCCCAGAATCACTAATTTAAAACATTCGAGTCTTTAATATGTGTGTGTGGTCAACAGAGAGAAAAAAGGAAATAAATTAAATAAGGACCACGGAAAAGTATTGTGATTATCTTTTAAACTTAATACAAACTGGTCCCGATTCCAAAGTAAATGGGAACATTGCAAAAACAAAGACTGCTTGATTCAGCCCATTCTGCACACATAATGGGCAGGTGATAATCACAACTCTTTATGACTGACAAAGCAAATAACTGTGGTGCAGACCTTTTCAGTGTGTGGAGGTAATGCCAGTTTTGCCAGGCACTTAAAAAATAAATTCTGTAACAGATGCATATGAGCGACCCTGGGTGGTTTTATTCTCTCTAACATCCAAAGACAGCAAAGTATTTCACTGTTGATTAATACCCCACTATATCTGAAGGACTATCTTATGGATGTTCAGATTTATTTACCATAATCCATTCATTAAATGTAAAACTTACTATTCAGGTATCTTTAGGGCAAGGCAAAAAAACCATGAACAAAATGTAAATTGTTGATTAAGTGGTTTTACTTGTTTACAGAAACTAATTTCAGGCTGTTTATAGCAAATGTCACCAAGGATTAGCAATTCACACACCTCAAATAAAACTAATTAGTTTTTGAAAACTGACTTCTAATTCTGTCCCTTTGACTTTTCAGAGTTTTTTAAATGTCTACTTTTTTCATAAAGATTTGCAAAGAAGTATTTAAATCTAGGAAGAAAATGGCAACCCCAATCAACTGCACTGCACAGAGAAAGTAGTCACATCTCTGTTATTATCTACAATGTATGTTATATTCTGTCTAAAAACCAGTATCTGTAAGCGCCTGATCCTGCTTCGTTTCAACGTGACTTTGACCTGAGTAAGGGCTCCAGGATCATACCCAATAAATGGCATCGTATTCTGCTCAGACTTCTACCCTGGATGTCAATGAATTTGAAAAGGAGTGTGAGTCAAGGGGGAAATTGTCTCATTAGGTTTATTTGACTGGAATCTGGAGAGTGACAGCTTTCTTGTGCCTGATCCTACTCCCATTCCACTCAATGGGAGTTTTGATACTGGCTTCACTGGGAATAGGATCAAGCCAATTATTGGAAAACAAGCTTGTGATTATCACAAAAATAAAATACCAGCCTTACAGACTATACAATGAAGTGGTGTATGCATGTCAAATGATAAGGTACTATCAATCTGGCTGTAAATCAGTTACACACTGAGCAAAAACAGAATATAACAAAGGAACCCTAACTACTTTCTGTTGAAGGAAATACATGCTTTCTAGAAGTACAAGCAGATTTCAGAATTCAGTACAACATATTATGATAAAGCATCTATAACAGTCATCTTTCTTTCTTTCTTTCTTTCTTTCTTTCTTTCTTTCTTTCTTTCTTTCTTTCTTTCTTTCTTTCTTTCTTTCCAGTATTAGTTAATAAAATAGTAACAATATAATATATCATAAGAATGTCAAAACTTTGTCATCTCCTTTTTGATATACTTATTGTTAAAAGCTCAGGTTAAAAATGTCTTGGTTAAATATAAACAAAATATTGGTAGCAAAAAATATAAAACAAAATAACCTGTTAAACATCCCACAGTAGTAATACATTAAAATTACACCATATTGAATTAATCAGTCAGTCCTTATGTTAGGGGGTCAGATCCTGTGTTCCTTGCCAAAACAAAACCTCCACTGAAGTGATCCAGGATGTAACATGTCTCCAAGCTAAAAATATTTAGGACACATCCATGCACCATCAGAAACTGCACAAGAATTCAGAATTAGGCGTTGCTAATTTGAAGTACATTCACTAAGTACAATCAGGTAAACAATGTCTATAGAATTTCATTACTCCCACTCTAATATACCTTTAAAAATCAGAACTGTATAATGAATCTGCAAGTCCTAATCAGCCGTGATGTTTATGCATCATTAAAATTAAACCTCGAGTCCTGACAATGTATTACATTTCATATATGGTCACATAATTAGCACTTGCGCTATTCTGGCACGTCCTCACATCCTGTGAATCTCACATGACACATAGTGCAAGGCAGTTGGGCATCTACCTCTCATCAGAAAATATGTATTTTTCTCATCAAACTTGCATTCTCCCCTTATGAAGAGGTGGATCAAAAGGGAAGGAAAATGTTAGTTTTTTCCAGCACAGTTTAGCTTTCTTATTATTTGCTCCCCACAATTATTATAATATGTATTTGTCTAAGCTTATAGAGTCTTGGGGCCTAATTCTGCTCCTATTGATGTCACTGGGAGTTTTGCTATTGATTGAAAGGGGACAAAGATCTAGTTTTTAATATCCTTAATAGTCTTGTCTCAGACTGGTTTTGCTTTTGGCCCTATTTCACTTTTTAAAGTAAACAAAACAAAAGCAAAGTGTAGCAGGTAATTGAGAATAATCAATACATAGGACATAGAAGTATGATACACTGCTTTATATTCACCCACATAAGAGAAATATAGACTAGAGGGAAGCACATATTGTAGGGAACATTCCTACCGCTAACAAGGAGTAGAACTACCAAGCCAGTGTTTTGCTTGTTTAATCTTTCTGCTCAGTGAATATAGTAATTGCTTATGGCCCATTTTAAACAAAAAGGTCTAGTTTTGGGAAACACCCTGTTACATTAACAAACTCCAACAAGGGGTGATGAAGACTGAGACGACGACGATGATAATAATACTTAATACCTAACCCATCTATCTAAATTGAAGACTGCCGTGCCAAGCCATTCTCTCGAAGTCTGGTATTTCTTTTTGCTTATTTATATCCCCACATGGCACAGGGGAAGGATTAGATAGTATGCATGGGGCAAAGAAGCTTTTAGTCATTTCTGGCATAGGGCTGGGTTTATGTACAAGAATTCCGTGCAGTGAAGTTTTCTGTCAAATCTTACATTACTGCTACTAACAGAGCTTCTCGGATACCGCTAACTTGGTTTGAAACATGCGGAGCAGATGTTGTGTCCTTTCGGCTGTAACAAAATTTGCCCTAGTGAAAAGGTACCAATGCACCAGCCAAAGTTGCAGGAACTGCAAAACAACAATTGTCCCGCGTCCTTTCATTGCATTCGGGCGCAATCCGATCGCTGGGGACACTCGTATGCCCCGCAAATAGCTCTGCGGTACTTGTTTGTGTGTACTTTTCTTTCTACGTCGGATTTCAAATGAACGGAACACAAGCCACAAGCCGCGATTTGCCGTCCAGCCCGCAAAGCAAAGCTCTGTCTCGGAAGGCTGGTGGGAGGGGGAAGCGCAGCAACGGGAGTCGTGCAAGGGGTGCAAGAAAGGGGGGTGTGCGCGGTGGCTGTAACCGGCCAGGGAGATGGAACGGGACGTGCGGGCAAAGGCAGCCCGAAGGCCATTTATGCATCAGATTGCTCCATCCCCAACCCGGGGCTTCCCAGTCCTTTCCCGGCCCCCCTTTCTGCTCCTTCCACAAACACAAGAAGGTCTCAAGGTGCCCCCTTTTCTGCAGGTCAACACGCTGGGCGTGTCCATTTGGAGGAAGAGAAAACATTTCAGAGAGGGGTGACGGCTCAACTCTTCTGCAGACTGCGGTGGCTGGGGAAAGCCACATCGATCGCCTGCGCAAGAAGGTACCTTTCCAGATTGGATTTCTGCCTTTGGCCCTGATCCCTGCCAGGAGCTCGGGGGCTTCGCATATTTTACCCTCGGCTCATTTGCCGGAGAGCCTAGCTCAGACAAAACCCTCCCATGCCTGCTGGAGGGAAGACGTGTGTGTTGTTTGTGGATCTTCTGAATAAGTGCTGAAAGACCGGGCCCAAAGTATAATGTCCTAACAGCAAGTGACTGCCCACTGGCACCTAATCAATGATGCTGGCATCCCTCCACCCGGGAACCCAGCTCTCTACCATTGTCTGGTCCATCAACCCATTCAATACACCCGGCTTTAAAAAATCCGGGTGTAAAGATCCTGGTTTCCCACCCCTCTGGCCGGCACATGCAACGCAAATCTGGCCATCCCTGGGTAGGACAGAGAGAGAAACACAAGTCAATTTGTCACCTGCAATTAACATGCCCTCAATCTGTAACTCCCCCCTCAATCACTGCTTGAAGGTAACCTGCAACTCTAGAAAGATCGCACGTGCTGAGCTGCCCTTGGCAATGCGAGACGCTGAAATCTGCCGCAGATCTGCGCTTGTTCGAACGCCGTGACCCCAGAGGGACGAGCAAGAGGGGGGAGAAGGCAGCCAGGAGCAGCTCCATTTCTCTCTACGGATCCCCCTTCCTCCTCCAGAGCCGGGCTGGCCCAGCTGAAAGGGTGTCCCTCTCCTCCACCACACGTTCCCCTCGGAAGAGGGAAGCAGCCACCCGGATTCCAATCGCGGGGCATTAGCCCCTGGGGAAGGCTGCCTGGCTTCTCCCGTGCAGCAGACGTTTGGGTAGAAAGCCGGGAACTGTCGCTCCTGTCTCTTGCTAAGAGGAAATAAATATGAGGACAGAGCTCTTCATAAACGCCAGCGCCTGGGGCCCGCCAAGCAGGAGGCTGTGCCATTCACCCGGACCCTGGTCCGATGGAAGTTCTCTTAAGGTTGGTTGTGAGGGTGAAGGGCTCTTAAGACAGACCGAGTAGAATTCCTTTGCTTACAGCTATCGCATTACTCTGCTCACTTGTGGGGGGGGTTTATTGCGGGTGTGGTTCTTTTCCCCCCTTCGTCTATAATAGTTACACATTTGCCTTCTAGCCTGTTAATAGTTCAGCAATTAACACTCCCTTTATTGACTCTTCAAGAGCTTAAAATAGATACCCCTTTTTCCTGAGACTCAGTCGGCTCCCCTGCAGTTTACATGTTGTGCCAACAGTTACTCAAGCCAGTAAAGAGGTTTCCGAGAAAGAAAGAGACAGCGAGAGCGAAACTCTGGGTGTATTTTCAGGAATAGAGATAGCGCTAGGAGTTGAGTCCTGCTTGGTCCTTCTTAGATTTACTTCCCTTGGCTAGGAAGAGGGGGGCGATCATCAGATGCATGATTCAGTTATTGGTATCGTTAAAAGGGAAGGGATCGTCGTAGAAGCGCCAGATTAGAGGGAAGTTGGGACATGTTATTCAGACAACTTTGCTTTCTCTTGACACAAGGAATGTTTCAGCTACGAGAAACGCCAAGACTCCAAGGCTCTCAGCAGAGGCTTAACAAGCTGAAATTGAATTCAATACCTTTCCCGTCTGTGATACATTCTTCCGAACAAGGGGAATGCACCTTGTTTCTCTGTCCAGTTACTGGTCTAAACTTGCCCTAAAGTGAGAGACGCGTCTTTTCTTTTCTTTCTACCAAGGTACCTGCTCCAACGCGGGATTTACAGGCAAACAATGACAATTAGAACGTCTTAAATTTGTCTCAGCAGATTAAGTACAGTTAGAATCAATAGGATGAAAGCGTCCATCCCTTTCTGGCTCTTTTCCATGTGGGTCTGAAGTCTCTTTGTAGTAACAATGACTTGGGCCCTAACTACCAGCGGTTGCTTTTAGTGTGAGCAGCGCAGTGGGTCTTCTTCTCTCATTAAACCCATCCCCAGACTGAAAACTCCTGTCAAGGTTTCATTTTCCAATCAGGTGTGTTGTTAAAGGGGGAGTCCAGGCTTCAACTTGAGACAGTTTCACGTGTTAAAAGCAGCACTGCCTTGTCTACACAAGAGTTGTTGAAGGGGTTGGTTGGAACGTGCTAGCCTTCTAACCAAACACCTTAATCAAGACAAACCTTCGCTGTCACTCTTCACAATTCACTCCCTACGCCTTTCCCTTTCACACACCCATGCAATCAGCATGTGCAGAGCACACACAAATCAATCCCAGGCAATCCCAGGGGAAGAGCAGCCTCTATGAACACCTGATCTCTATAAAACTACTCCTGGGGTCCAAATTACACTCTTCCTCATAAGCACACCTGCCTTTGGCAGGCTTTTCCTGCCCCCTCAAACTCCCTCTCCCCAGCCCCGCAAAGGCGCATCCCAATGCATAGTGTCTCTGCCAGGCCCACACAGAAAGCACTCACATATGCCCACAAACAAACCCTGCATACACATCGATACCCAGACTGCCGAATATCTGGAACCCTCTTGCATGACGCTTCTCACAAGCTCCTCCACAATACACACACACATAGGGCAACGTAAAGACTTCCAGCTAGAGACACAAACTGTCATCCTCCAGCATCCCAACACATTCCCCCCCCTCTCTTTCTCACACACACACGCACACACACACACACACCAGTCTCTTACTGTGTCTGTTATCAAATATATACCAACCCAAACAAACTAAAACTACTTTACGGAGCCAGTTACTTACTCTAACAAACATTCATCGCATCTATATTAGCTTTTGCTTGCAAGATTCTCTCCCTTGTGACTTGATGTTTGTTTCCTTTTGCCTGCATGTGTCCAGTTCTTTTATGCAGCTTCTCAGTCAGTCCAATTCACAGATGACTTCCTTTCCCCACCTCCTCCCATTCAGTGTATCGAAAGAAATACTTTAAGATCCGGGAATATATAATGATCTCTCTTCTAATTTGGAAACAATTTGAATGCCCACCTTAAAAAATCCTTGTCAACACAAATTCAAAGTTACCCATTTATTTAAAGTGCAAAGAAAGTCAAACGGTTGCAGCCAGAGAGATTAATTTCCAAATATTTGTAAGCGAAAGCGATTGTTTGTGGGTGGACGGCAGGCACCATATCAATTACTTATTAAAAAAAACAAACTATAACATTAAGGCAGTTAAGGCACACTCCAATTTAACAGAAACCTGCAAAGCAGAGTTAGTTACGCTCAGAAATGATAAGCAAGGAAATTGTAAAGATCGGTGGCAAATGAAAACAAAGGGGAACTCAATTGTACAGAAAAAAGATTCAGAAATGAAGACAATTATTTTCTTTCGGGGTTGGAAAGAGCAAAAGGCACACACACACGAGAAAAAAAACCCCAAAGCAAACAATCCTACTCTCCTTCCTCAGACAAATAGAATTTGCTACAACGTTACCTAACACTGAGATGCTAGACTGAAAAATGACCCCAAGCAAATACACATCCAAATCAGACCCTCTGTTCTTTACTGTACACTAGATGCAGTTTTATATTGGAAATTAGAATCAGGGGGAGGAGAAGGCGTGAACATGCCGCGATGAGTGCGTGTTGTCAATCAGAGGGGTTTTGTGTCTGCTTGACTCCTGATGGTCCATGGCTGAGGTGTCCCAGGGTGGCACCACAATGAATATGAATGGGAGTCCTTGCTAAATGGGACAGTCAAAGCGCACCGCCCTGAATAATTGCACGTCATCCTAACAAGACCATTATAGATAGGAGGGCTTCTTTTGTCTCTTTTCTCTGCTGCAGCGCTATAAAAGCCCCTCTTTTCCAGGCTGAGGTTAGTTCAAGCATACACCAACCAGCTATCCTGTAAACAGGCTGGGTAGCCTGCGGGAGAGATTAGAGGGAGAAAGGAGAGTTTTCTTCTTCTTGGAACCTTTCCCCCCTCCCCACAGAACCTGCAGTTTATTTATTTTTTAAAACAACCCTATTTCACCCTCTCCAGAGCAGGGAAGAAATTTCTTGCTCCGAAGCCCCAATACAATGAATTCTGACTCCAGCTCTGTCTCCAGCAGAGCTTCCTCGCCAGACATGGATGAGATGTACCTGAGAGATCACCATCACCACCATCATCACCACCACCATCAGGACAACCGGCTCAACTCGGTCTCCTCCACTCAGGGCGACCTGGTGCAGAAGATGTCCGGGGAAGGCCTCTCCAGAAACGGCTCCAAGGCCGGAGGGGAAGGCAGCAAGTACAAAATCAAGAAGCAGCTCTCGGAGCAGGACCTGCAGCAGCTCAGGCTGAAGATCAATGGGCGGGAACGCAAAAGGATGCACGACCTGAACCTGGCCATGGATGGGCTGAGGGAGGTGATGCCCTACGCTCATGGACCTTCCGTGAGGAAACTCTCCAAAATTGCTACCCTCCTGCTGGCCAGAAACTACATCCTGATGCTCACCAGCTCCCTAGAGGAGATGAAGAGGCTGGTGGGTGAAATCTATGGAGGACACCACTCCGCCTTTCACTGCGGGACAGTGGGGCACTCAGGCGGGCACCCGGCCCACGCAGCTAGCACGGTCCACCAGGTCCACCCTATCCTTGGCAGTGCCTTGTCTTCAGCCAACACCTCCTCCCCGCTGTCCGCCTCCCTGCCAGGGATTGGCACGATCAGGCCCCCTCACTCTTTACTCAAGACTCCCTCTGCCCCGCCAGCCCTCCAGCTTGGCAGTGGCTTCCAGCACTGGGCGGGTTTGCCTTGCCCTTGCACTATCTGTCAAATGCCCCCTCCGCCACACCTGTCTGCCCTCACCACAGCCAACATGAGCAGGATCTCAGCAGAATCCAAGGACTTACTGAAGTGACACTGAAAACTCCGGCGCCCTTTTAGCTATACCAGAGATCACACTTTCAAACAAGTTCTGTTCGGTGATGCTGCAGGAAGACGCCACACAAGAAGTCCTGCGTTCGCATGCATGCTTCTCTTCCTTTGCTGAGCGCCTGTGTGTTTCCTCCCACCGGCAGCCGAGCTTGTCCAAACTGCATTCGTTGTAACGAAGGATTAGTGTAGTAAGGACCTTACAAAGGTAATGTTTTAGTTGGATTCTCGGGCCATGTTTTCTTCTTATACTAAAACAAAAATCCCTGTTGTAAAAACAAAACAAAAAATGTAAATATTTCCTTAAAGTGGATGCAAAAAAAAAAAAAAAAAAAAAAAAAAAAGAAAGAAAGAAAGAAAGAAAGAAAAGAAAAGACATGGTGGTCATTGTACGGTTCGCAGGTGCAAAGAGACGATGAGTTGTTTGGGGTTTGTTTGTTTTTGGTTTGTTTGTTGTTTGTTTGTTTGTTTTTAAAGGCAACACCTACATTTCTGGGAAGCTTCTCTGCTCCACTCCAGGATATGACAGCTAGGAATGACGATGACTTTTCACACAATATAGCTTAAAAGAATGCATGCATGCTTATAATTGAATCTCCTTTAAACATGTTGTACTGGCAATGATGCAGTTTTCCTTGTAACAAGGATTTAATAGTGAATTCTCTAAAGCGTTTCTCTGTCCCGTCCCCCCGTCCCCCCCAGGTCTGTGGCTGTATAAAACAAGAAAGAGAAATAGTGCAAACCACGCGCAACATCCCCAAAGCCTGTTTGGCCCGATCTCCTGCTGTAAGTGCAGTGTAGTAGTCCGCTGGCTGGGGTCCACATTGCCCTCACGCCCCTTGTTCAGTTAGCTGCATGCAGGGTCGACTCTGGCCGGACTGGTCATTGTGTTACTCCACTGGAACTTTCCTGTTGTTTTACGTTTGGTTTTGTTATGTTTTCCTGGGCATTTGCTTGAAATATTTTGTTAGGGCCTCAAAGACAACAACCTGTCTTTATTTTTTATATATTCTTGATAACTATCGATATATTTATTATGGACCAGTGTTTCTGGGTGAGATTTCAAATAAAAAACAATTAAATAAAAGTTCTGGTTTCGCCTTTGTCTGGGACTGCAAGACAAGAAAAGGAAAGCCTGTCTCTTGCTGTGACTTTTCTCAACAAACTGAAGAAGGCTAACAAGAACTGCCTTTAAGATAGCAATAAAACCGGAACCAATTGTCCAGCCTTCACCCATACCCCCTCTCTCCCGTGTGTTCTTGCGTGTGTAAATGAATTGCTTGAATTATAGGGCTATTTCTCTTTATACAGTATGGAAAATCTTTATGAATGCATAAACAAATCACCATAAAGTGATTGTCAAATATACAGAAGGATCCAAATGACACTTGGTGCAAAATGCAGATGCATTCACGGAAAAGATGAGAAGCAGTAAGTTAACTTTTCTTTATGTCCAAATAACATTTATTTTCCAGGCTAAAATAGATTTTAAAAACAAATCCGTTACAGAAAATGAACTATGAAATATTACAAGCTCAAAATGAATCTCAGAAGAAAAATAATAGAAAATATTTTGGGGAAAAATGTGTTTCTGGGTTGATTGGATAGCAGTCACGAAATTCCCCATTTCTCAAATATTTATGAAGAGATTGTTATTTTCTGTAGAGCGGATGGTTTTTGCATAATTACTAGAAAAGAATCAGTTACTTATCGCACATGAAGGAGGCATTAACAATATAGGGAAATGATTGGAAATCGGACCTTTATTTTCCTTCCTTCTTCTACCCCATCTCTAACACTTCTCCATATGGCCTCTAAATTAGACATACAAATGCTGTAAGAGAAACTCGACCATTTAGAGTTGCTCTCAGACTTCTACTCTGCTAGGTACACGGAGAACTTTTGTCACTGTGAATTCCATGTGTTTCGACCTCGATGACTTTGTGAAGTAGCGGTAGTTATTGTTCGTTAATAAAAAACAAACACCCAAACCCCCAAAAACCTAACACAACTCCCACCCTCCATCCGCAAACAAAATAACACAACAACAACCACTTTATGGTTACTGAGAACTTCCGAAGAAGTTTCCTAGAAGGGATTTGAAACGAAGTCTGACCGCAAACCGAACTGTTTATGTTCAAATAAAAACGATCCGAAACGAGTTTGATTTCTGATTCCTGAATGGGGTTCGGGGTTTAGAAGGAAAGGAACAGAGGGAGGAAAATTTATGTTGTTCAATCTGAAAGAAACTCCCTATTTTCATTTTAACCCCAAACCTGTCCGTAGAGTCCATGGAATGGAGAAAGGGATAAAGAGAAGATCTAATCTGGCAGGGGGATTATTTCCAGTGGAGTTAGGCGACAAATAGGGGGATAATGGTCTGTTTCCCTTTGGTGATTCATTCCGCTGGGTGATGAAGGAGCTGTCGAGGAGTTACTCGAAACAAACAGAGTAACTCAGCTCCGTTCCTCTGGAAGTTTAGTATTTCCAAGGTGGGGAGACCCGAATCAGTAAGTGAAGCAGCTTTTCCAATGCACCCAAAGTAACTTTACTTGTTTTAATACAATGACTGCGAAATGCTACAGCAATTGATTCCTTTGTAAACCAACGGAAAACACCAATACATATTTGCAGTGGGAATATGTTACACTAACGAAAAGGGCCTTTTCCATTTAGTTTTCTCTTGTGTAAATTAATCTAGCCCCCTTCGAAAATGAACTAATTAGTAACCGCTACATTTTCTTTTTCTTTCTTTCTTTCTTTCTTTCTTTCTTTCTTTCTTTCTTTCTTTCTTTCTTTCTTTCTTTCTTTCTTTCTTTCTTAACACAAAGTCTTATATGTAAATTGAAGACAGATAGGACAAAAGTTAGAGCAAGCCCTGCACATGGCGGGCCAGGTCTGGTTCTTCTTACTCAAGCGAGTTGTCCCATTGAATAAAGCGAGCAGGATTTGGCCCTGTGAATTGGGCTACGGGAGACGGGGACTTCTTTTTGACATATAACTAAACCATCTTTGGGTGCGATCGCCAGGAGGTTACAGCGCTACACGGGGAAAGTAGATGGAACTGGCCAGAATTCATATTTTAAAGAAAACTGCAGTCATCGGTATCAAACAAAAAGTGAGACCTTGATGGGATCTGGTGGAAATCCACTTGCATTCAAAATTTGATCCCCCGAAAACGTTTGCCGCATCCAGAACCTAGCCGGGTGCCCTTAAATTTGTGGGATGGGGCAACTGACTAGGAGAGAGGTGTAGAATTATCACCGTGTCCTTCTTCTTCTTCTGGGCTTGGGAGCTGAGTACCCGGAGGCTGACCAAGCAAGTGCTTGTTTTTGGGAAACACAGTGACAAACCCAGATTAGAAAGGTCTTGGGCCAAATCCTGCCCGCTTTACACATACTCATAATCCCTCTGGGGGCTACGTTTTATTCTCAGTGACCCGAGTGTAAATTCAGAGCAACCCCACGGGAAGCAGGAGAGTTATTCCAGTGAAACAACAGAAAGCAGACTGGCTGCAACGGATGAGTGAAGGGAGCATCATTTAGTGAAAATGTGGGTAATCCCGGGGCTGGAAACCAGGGCCCAATAAAGATTTTAAAATATTGTCGATAATAAGTTAAAAATTAATGCTAAAGAAAGTGGCAAGAAGCTCAGTGGAAGGAAGATTTCTTATTCCCTGCGCTCTGATATTTCAAACTCTTCTCTAAACGACTCCTCCACCAGCAACTACATCAGGGTCTGTTATCATTCTATATACAGCTCTAGCTAGATGTTTAGATACTCCTTCTCTTCAGGGTCAAGTGAGGCCTAGCAATGCTGAGCTGCATCGCCTTTTCTCCCCATGTGGATTCCCTCAAGACACACGTCAGCGTTTTCACACCACGCTGCCGTTTAGATTATGGATAGTGGCAATGGGGAGATTTCAGTGTGCAGTGAGCCTGGTTGCTTGTACTGTGTTTGGGGACTACTCCGAATCGATCTCCCCGTGGCTTCTCATCAGCTGGGCTTTGTCTGATGACTCCCTGTTCAGATATTGGAAAGGAAAAAAAAGAGCAGTTTACTGTTTTTGAAAGTTCCTCACGTTTTATAGAGTGAAAAAAGGACCCTTCGTCCTGTCTCTGCTACTGGGAACAAGAGGACCTAGCACGGGTGATTTTTATTCCTTGCGGTGTTTTGCACGCGTCTAGATTCCCACCGGTTTTTAATAAACCAGACACCATTCCCCACTCTGCTTTCTCACCCCCTGGTATTAATGGCGTCAGCACACGGGTCAGTTACTGAACTGAATTCCCCACCTCGTTTCTCCTTCCTAGTCTCGGGGACTCAGGAGCACATTTCGGAGGGTAACATCAGGAAAGGCGCCAGTCTAGTTTTCCTCTTGAGCTCTCCTGGACCAATTGGGAGAGTTTTGCTTGTGTAAAGACTGCAGGGTTGGGTTTGAGGTCACTTGGTGCAGTTTCTGAGCTCGCTCAGCCAAGCACGGCCTGCAAATCAAGGGAGTGATCCTTCCCCTGGCGAAGAGAAGCAGCAAACGGCAGCCGGAAAGTGGTTTTCCGTAATGTCCTCATTCTCTTCACTTTAAACCGCAGGAACCAACTGGGTTAGTGCGCTGCTCCCGTCCCAGCACTCGTGTTGTACGAACTCTCTTTATGGCCTGGGAATCTGCCCGGGCCCCTTGCACAGCAGAACCCAGGCGACTGGGGAAGCGGGCTCGGGCGTACACCACCCGGTCGTGTCTTAATTCCTAGTCGAGCAGGGTCGAGCTGACAGCTACAAAAGCTCCAGTCAACTTTGGAGGCGTCTATGAAGAAAAACACTAAATGCATCAGCTGAGTGCTCTGGACTCAGGGGAGCTGGGCGTGGGGGCGAATCGAACGGGGGATTTAACAGCAAGATGCAAGAGCAGAGAGCTTGGAAACAAATGTCCCATTTTCAGCTCCGGCTCCTCCGCGGGCGAGAGCTAAACTGTACCCTCGGCTCCCTCCGGCCACGCTGTGGATGCATTTCACCGAGAGAGAGAGAGAGGAGGAGGAAACAGCAGCACGAAAGATCTCGATGGATCTCTCGCGCCTTTCTGGTGTTTGGGGTGGGGAAATCCCGAGGAGTTTGCCTGCCCCTGCGTGGAGCGGACAGGCACTCAGGGTGCTTGAGTGGGGGAGGGAGGGGGGGGGAACTAAGCTCCAGAAGAGGGGGCGGGCAGCATCCAACTTCTCGGACGGAGAGACAGAAACTCTGCACTGAGTTATATGCGATAGGAGCAAGAAACTAGGGCAAGGAGTAGCTGGTAGCTCGGCTTCCTCGTCCTTAGTCTCAGCCCCAAAACTAGAAACTTCAACCCCTCCCTGCACAGGTGCGAGTTTGCAAACAGAGGCGTCAGGAGGTGCCCAGACTTCACTGGAGCTGGTTATTCTTCCAGCCATTTCACCTCCTGACATGTGCTCGATACACCCCCCATCACAGGCTCCAGTTCACACTGTCCCAGCCAGGAGGAGAGAGAGTTTGCTTCTCCCAGGGCGGATTTTAGGTTTTCCTACCACGGGGGTTTAGGATCAAAGCAGATAAGAAGGGTTTCTGCTTTGTACTTGAGCGTGCGGGTTGACATAGTAAATTCGTATCTAGTGGTGGCGTGGGGAGGGAAAACCGCAACAGAGACAGCGAGCGAGAGAGCGGCTGTGTTGTGGTTTTACAGGCAGAGGCAGCGAAAGGGGAGTGACAACGAAACCAGTTTTGCACAATTCAAATACATTTTTCAGCATATCAAACCCCATACACAGCAGATTTCCCAAGGCAGGATTTAGCGAGCATATTTCCCCCTAGGTCTAAACCAATGAGGAAATGCATTTGTACAACAAATCTGTCTTGCTGATCATATTCAGGATTTCATCAGAAGAACAGAGAACTATTCCAAACCATTCATTCATTGGTTTGGGAGGCTGGAGGACTCTGAAAGAGATTTTTTCTAGCCAGCTCCTTTGGTTTTCCTTCAAGGTCTCTCCAAGTTGTCAGGCTTGTTTTTAATTTAATCAGACTTTTCCTACGGTCCAGCAA